GGTTAAAGTCGCGTAATACAGCGCGTGCAATAAACCTCGTGTTGGACAGGTGTAAGGTGCAGGCGTTTACGACATTGTACTCGCTCTCACCAAGATTGTATATTGAGAGAGCAACCAAGTGCGAGTCAGTGCGGATTATACGATTGGTTGATGTTAGATAACGAGTTGATAGAGCTGGGGATAGTTCGTTAACAATGTATATTCGAAGTATATATATATATATGTAATGCCGTCGGTAACCTGATAATGCCATATACGCACGTGGCGCCACGTGATACCAAATGTACTATTATTATAACCTCATATCATTATAATATTCAACAAGTCATCAAGAATCGTTGTTTCGATTCTCCCTTATCTAATTACTATATGAAAATGAATCTTGTCCATAACTTAAATCTTGAAAATACTATATTCAAGGTCATTTTCATATTTATATAGAATTTATCCTAAGAAAGAATTGGTTGCGACACTTTGAAATTCGATACTATTATTTTCGACAAATATTTTAAAAATTATCGCAATTGGAAATAAACAATGGAGGAAAAAAGTAAAGGCAATAAAAGATAGATAGCTTTAAGGCTCTCGATATAAGAAAATCTGCAAAATGTATATAAAACCTTAATGTTTGAAAAAAATAAGATTTGTAATAGCGAGGGATGCGATTCCTCAGAATTTCTCAGAAGAATTTTACAATTGCACATAGCGAAAATACTTTGGAATTGGCATTATTTTCTGTACGCGAGTAGGGCATATATATAGTATATTGCTCGGTCTGCAATAACTTTCTGTTGCTTGGAGATTTTTCCGCAAGGTTATAATGTACATATATATATAGTTAGAAAACGAGGAAAATGATCCTTAGAGGAAAATACGTCAACGAAAAGAATATGAAAAGGACAACTCGCCATTATCTTTATTTGCCATAATTGGAGGAGCTTTAACTCCGTCAAAACCAAATACCAGTTATGACTGCCATAAACCTACCCACAATCACTTAGAGCGTCGCACTTTTTCCTCTCTCTATTTATTGCAAAAGTAAAACTATTGAAAGCGTCATTGATTCTGTTTTAAGGATATAAAATATAATCTAATTCCTTTTTCCCCAAAGAGGAGTAGATTCTCTTGAGTTGTTTTGCTTGCCCTTTTGCTCTTTTAGAAAATACGATATGCGGCTTATTTCTTGTCCTTTATTCCTCTCCTTATCTCTTTGTTTTAAGTAGTGCAATTTTCATTCCAAGGTTTTGCCTTTGTAAATACTTTTCCGCAATTATCTAAATAAATAGTACCCATTTTATTGTCTTATATTACGCTTTAATATATGTAAAACTAAAAAATTGTACGTACACTGTAAAACGAAAGGTATTAATTTAATACCAACTTTAGGTACTAAATTGTTATTTGGTTCTATTTTGATACCTAAAATCGGTACTGTTTTAGTACCTTCTTTTCACAGTGTATTCTCGCTAGAATTCCTTTATTCTTTAACTTTAATCAAATAATTACCAATTAATATGGTCCATATACTAATTTTCAGTATTCAGAATTATTTTTATTATTATTATTTCAGAAACTAGCACACGTTTCATATACGAGTAGAATAGTATAAAAAAACAGTTTTTTTCTATTTTGAAATATTAATTTTTGAAACGAAATGTCTGAATTGAAAAATTAATATATCTCACAGCAAATCGCTATATTTTTTCCGCTATTTAATTTTTTCCCCGATTTATATATATATATAAATCGGGGAATAACAGAGGAATGCATTTTTCGCCCAGAAGGCAGATAAAATATATATATATAGTCTCTGCGATTAGCCGCCAATCATATTCGATTGATATCTATTCTGATATCAATTTATAAAAACTTCAAAAAAATCCAGAAAAATAAAAATATATCCGACATTTGTTTCCTTATATATATATATATAGCAAATCTTGAAATTTTATTTTAGAAAAAAATCCTTATCTTTAAAATGCACTACAGTTTGAATATTATTTGTTCAAGCATATATATCCGGCGCCGTTCGAGGTTCATATATATATTTTTTGAATCACCTGATAAAAGACCCAACTTTCTCAATAACCGTTTTTGTCCCTGATATTGAAACCGATAAGATTGAATCAGAAATAAATTTACTTTATATAAGAAATTTAAATTAATTTTGGACAAAAAAAAAAAAAAAAAACTATTCGAGTAAATTTTTTTGTCATTAAAAATCAACCTTTGTATATATATATATATATATATAGCCAAAGGAACTACCTTGGCATTGTCTCGAGTCATTTTATTTCCGTTGCGAATTTGCGTCTGTCACTCTCTCTGTACATATTTTCATTGTTACAACAATGACTTTTGAAATAGAATTGTTTTTTAAACATCCCCCTTTTAGATATATATAATAGAAAAAAAAAGGTTGTTCACAATGGATGTGAATTAAATATTATGTGAAAATATTACCGTGTAAATAATAAATCACAAATGTGTGTGTTTGAAAGCTTTTCTTGTCCTAAATAAATTTTAAAATATACTTTTTTTTCTGTTTACGAAAGGTTATATATGTTTGTCTGGTGTTTTCTCAATAGAATTCCAGTGATAGGAGAAAATATGCGTGAATTATAAAATTTGGTACAATAAATACATATAGAATTTGTCATCTTAATAGCAAATCTCAACGCTCGGTTATGTAACATTCCAGATTAAATGCAGTTCATTGGACTGCAGTTACTCTTTTATTCTAAGAACGTTGTCTACACCCCGGGACTTGTAATCTCTGTGGTCATTCGCCTCAAATTTCCATTGTTTCGTCTGAATTTGACCAGAAGGAATTTACAAAAATACCGTGAAAAATATCGAATTTCTTTTTGTATGATACTTTTTCATTTCAATTTTGAAATTTGCTCTAATATTTAGAAAAAAAAAAGCTTTGATCTAGTGTAACCGTCAATATTTGAACGAAAAGCTTTCTCTCTCTCCGTTTAACTAATTCATATATATACACCTTTCCGACACATATGTCATAATATTTCCGCATAAATTTACTTTTCACAAAGACAAGTTTAAAGACGTTTTAGACATTAACGTGTGTTCTTTGAATGGAAGAGTCTTTTTTAGAAATTGGCGCCCCTTTTTGATGGATAAACAAATAAAACGATTTCGTTGGCGAAAAAAAAAAAAAAAAGATTTCCAAAACGTTTACTCTCGAACGTATATGCGAAATGAAGGGTAAACATCGATGAAAGCAATGTGAACGAAGTACCAAATGGACGCTGTTTAAATACTCCATTAATGTATGTGTGCGTCTAAGTACCTACACATATATATATATAAAAAAAGACTCGCGTGGAATGTGGCCGACGTTACTCGAATGTTCCAGGTTTCACACACAGGTGGAAGGCATACGAGAATCGAAGAAGCGACGGAAGTCAAATCGATTGCTTTCAACCGATACTTCCATGCCGATCAAATTTCGAAAAGAATTTTCCCCCTTCCCTCTGTATATTTTATAAGCAAAAGAAAAAAAGTTGACATACTTTTTTTTTTTTTATTTATTTATAAGAGAGGAAAAAATTCTTGAATCAACATCGAACGATGCCAATTATATTTTACGACTCACATAAATCTCATTTCAAAAAAAAAAAAAAAAAAAAATTAAAAAAAAAAATTGCAAACATTTCATAAAATTCACTTGCGCGCAGAAAATAATGAGGAATGGGAAGGCACAAATCATTGCAAGTCGTTTTTTTTAAAATGCAGACACTTGACACGCGTTCATTAACTGATTTAAATCAAATTTACTGTAACGACAGGTAATAACAGTCAACAGTGGTAATTAATTTCAGGATCGTTTAAATTATTAATGATTTAAAAGTCCTTAATCATTAAAGAGCCTTTCAAAACATTTGAGTTTTTTTTAGCTTTTATTTATTTTATTTGGTCATAAGAGACTTTTTATTTCAAAAATTAATATTTCAAAATTGGTAAAACAGTTTTTTTTACTATTTAGTCGTATAAAAGTAAAAGTACAAAGTAAAAAGATATACATATATTGTTGTTTACGCCTTTTTTACTTTGGACGGTAGTACCAAATAATACTGAAAAAAAATTTATTTAATGCAAATAGGTAACTTTACTATTATCAAACAAATATTTATTTGAACCAAATAATTTTTATTCAATGAACTGTATTTGAACCAAAATAATTTCTGTATTTGAAATTTAATTGACTCAAAATAATAATTATTTGAAACAAATTAAAATTTATTTCATAATAGTCGATTATTTGAATCAATTAAATTTTTTTCACTCACAGAAAATTAAAAGGCATTAAAATAAGCAAAATTGGATTAAAATAATAAGCTTATCACAGAAAATTAAAAGGCATTAAAATAAGCTGCAACGCTTCTTATTTTAATCCATTTTGGTATTAAAATAAGCAAAATTGGATTAAAATAAGAAGCGTTGCAGCTTATTTTAATGCCTTTTAATTTTCTGTGATTTTAATGCCTTTTAATTTTTTGTGCTGTATGGACCATATTAAGTTTTGGTATTATGATTAGAAACTAGTAAGTTTCATATAGAGAGTTTTCCCCATTTTGAAATTTAAATAATTTGAAAGCAAAATTAAAATTCACTTTTAATTTATTTACAAATTATTTATTTGAATATATTGATTTTTGTCATTCTTTAAATAGATAAGCTACAGATAAATTATCCGTTGAGTTGTAAAATGTTTTCAACTATTTATTCCTACTACTTTGTGAGAAACCGTGTACGTACATATTACGTTATAATACAAAATCAACAAACTTGATAATATCGTATACATAATCTCTCTCTCGGTGACAAGATATTATACAAAAAGTTTACTCACGCCAGTGTTAAATAAACGATTTGCGTTAAACTGTAAATAAAAAATTTTTGCAAAATATATTTTTCTGAAAAAAAAGAAATTAAGACCTCTGGATTAAAAGATATGAGAAACTCTCATTATTCACCTGTGTCATGAGACGATCAGCCCCAGTGCCCTCCTCATCCTTGAAGATAATGTCGGTGTTATAGTTTGGCACTAAATCCCGAAACCTGGAATCGTGCCTTGACACGCGACCTTCGCTGAGCCCACTTGCGGGAAGGGTGTTTTCACTAACATTGGGCACATGTTGCTTAAAAACAAGGGGCGTGAGTTTGCGAAGGGTTGGCCTGCGACCTCCACCCCTGCCGGGACCGCAGGCCAAAACAAGATTATTCCCAGGACTTGGTATACCAAGAATAATTAACACAAGCACAATTCTCAGATAACGCGGAAACTGTAGCCTAGTGCTATTACTCACCTGGTGCAAGTACGCCGGTCTTGCTACCAGGACACGATTGCACACCATAATCACGGACCTCGTGGTGGTACCGCGACGTTAAGGGCCGGGTACAATGACAATGATGACGATGATCCTGCCGCTACCAGCTTCTTATTCTTTCTCCAATCGCGGTCCGTCGACCACCTCCTCCTCTTGCCACTGACCTCACTCACGCCTAACCATAACCAGGGCATCACACCCTTGCGCACTCTAAACTCCCGAGCTCGTTAATTTCAACCCCCCAAAACAACACAAATTCACCTCCCACTTATATTGTTCCTCAATAATCCTTTCTTGTCTACATAATTCACATATCACATCACAGTAATACACATGTTTATCCAAAAATTTGTTGTAATCCTGAAAAATTACCAAAAAAAAAAACTACCGATCGCGATTACATATTATTGATAAAAAAAAAAAAAAATTGAAAATAAATAAACAATTGAGCGAAATTGAAACGTTTTCCCGCAACGACCCAGTGGTGGGAAATGCGAGGATGGTTTTGGTGTTCCTCAAGCTGAGTAGAAACGATTCGGACCGGGTGCCCCTTTTTCTGCCACCACCACAACAACTTCCACCCCCACCCCCGCCTCTTTTGTGTACCAACGTGGTCCGCAACTCCTGGTTACTTTTACCCCACCACCGGTTAGTGTTGGTGCCCAACAACTACGTCACATATCGGTCGACTGGCTATTGGTCGGGGCGGGGCAAACCAGGTAAACGAGGACAGGTGTATACGAGGAAACATGCAACAACTTCTATAGCTTTCTCTTCGTTCAATTTTATTTCATCTCCTTCTTTTTCTCCCTCTTTCGTATATACCCTCTTCACTCACTTTTTTAACCATTTTTCTCTCTCTTTCTCTCTGATTTCTAACCTCCTCGCGTTTCTTTCCATCAATTTTTCCTTATCTATCCCCCTTTTTCGCCTTTCATTTTTATGTTCATAATTGTTCATAATTTGTCATAATTAATCTACATATTATTTTTATTTAATATTGATTTTTTTGGTTGTTTTTTGTTCGAATTTATACACTGTGAAAATTAGAGAAAAGAGAAAATTTTTAATTTACTTCAAATGGGAGTAAATTTAATACTAAATTATACTAAATAATACCTCCAGGAGTTAAAAAAGCGGAGTTAAATTATTGAGTCACTCTGATTTTACTCCAAAAAAGTTTTATACATACATAGAAATATTTTGAGAGAAATAAAATTTATTTCAATTAAAAATATATTTGTCTCAAGAGCCCCAATAAACTTTTTATTTTTTTCAATTAGCAAATTTTTTTTTAGGGCAAAAAAAAATTTTTACTTGAAACAAATAAAATTCATTTCAAACAAATAAAATTCATTTCAAACAAATAAAATTTATTTAAATCAAATATAATGTATTTGAAACAAAAAAAGTTATTTAAATTAAATAAAATTTGAAGAGCTCGACGGAATAACGATCTATGGCACAATTGAAAAGTTTGGTTATGAGCTTTCAAAAAACGTAAATTTTCATGAAATTGGTAATAAGTATATGTAAATTGTTATATATTACACACTTAGTAACTATTTTTAATTCTATTAGTAATAATAATTCGCTTACAGTTGTTATCAATTTAATAAAAAATTTACGTTTTTTGAAAGCTCATAACCAAACTTTTCAATTGTGCCATAGATCGTTATTCCGTCGAGCTCTTCATTTATTTAAACCGAATAAAATTTATTTGAAACAAATAAAATTCATTTCAAACAAATAAAATTTTTTTTGAATCAAATAAAATATATTTGAAACAAATAATAAGTATTATTTAAAACAAATAAAATTTATTTGAAACAAAAAAAATTTATTTATACCAAATAAAATTTATTTAAAATAAAATAAAAATGTATTTGAAACAAACAAATTTTATTCAAATCAAATTAAATTTATTTAAACCAAATAAAATGTATTTTTAATACAAATAAAATTTATTTGAAACAAAAAAATTTATTTAAACTAAATAAAATTTAATTGAAACAAAAAAAAATTATTTAAAACAAATAAAATTTATTTGAACAAAAAAAATTTATTTAAACCAAATAAAATTTATTTAAAATAAAATAAAAATGTATTTGAAACAAAAAACTTTATTTGAAACAAACAAATTTTATTCAAATCAAATAAAATTTATTTGAACAAAAAAAATTTATTTAAACCAAATAAAATTTATTTAAACCAAATAAAATTTATTTAAAATAAATTAAAAATGTATTTGAAACAAACAAATTTTATTCAAAATAAATTAAATTTATTTAAACCAAATAAAATGTATTTTTGATACAAATAAAATTTATTTGAAACAAAAAAATTTATTTAAACCAAATAAAAATAATCGGTTTTTATGAAATAAATATTCATTTGTATGAATAATTATTATTTGAGATAGTATTTTGTTTCAAATATACCAAAATTATTAGTCCAAATACAATTTATTTAATGGAAATAATAAAAATTATATTTGGTTTAAGTAAATATTTATTTGATATGTCAAGTAAACGACTATTTGCTCTCTAGATTTGAATTTCTAAAAAATTTAATTAATTTGAATTAGTTAAAAAAAAAATTTTAAATTAGTTAAAATTCCGATTTAGAGAGTTAAACTTTTTTTCAATTTAACACTTTTTTAATTATATTAAAATAGTAACACTTTCTCGTTTATATTTGGCGACGAGAGTGTGCAAACTAAATAAATAATAAATTATTGTTTATTCTTTGAAAATGCAGAAGTGAAAAGATAAGCTTTTTTTATGACTAGCCGCGGTACTTAACAAAATGCATTTATCAGATAAACTATAAACTGATATCAAATACGATTTGATAAGAAATTTAAAAAAAACGAAAGAAATTTTCTGAATTTGATTATCGCAAATCGTCTCGCGATTTTTTGGTATATCCATTGAAATTTTTTCTTCTAAATATCATGAAAGAAATCTTTTTTTTTTTGTGTCTCCTCAAAAGAAATGAGGATTGTCTGCGAATGGAAAGGTTAAATTGATGGAACAAAGACTCTTCTTTGTTAATGAGTATTAGACAACCGAATATATTCATGTATGAATCAATAGTCAAAGAAAGTCGCACCTTCACCATTCACGGAGAAACACACACCCACTGGGAGTTCATATAAGAGTCGGAATCTATGCGTGATTCATCCAACACAGAAGGAAGTGACGTAGGTGTCGAGCACTAAATGTGCAAAAAATGCACATAGATAAGTTTTTTTTTTTTTTTTTCGTTAACAGTGACAAATTATGTATAAAAAATTGTTTTTTTTTATGAATTACTTTTAATCGTGATAAATTTTGCTCTTTTTTTATATATTATAAAATTTATAAGAAATTTTACATGGAGTTATGTCATATATATATATATATATATATATATATATATATATATATATATATATATAGCAACAGGAAATGAAACTATAACTTTTCCTTTATGGCTGTTTAAAGTCTGCCTTATTCTCCTGTTAAACAAATCATAAATAAGTCACGTTCGAAGCGAGGTAGATTGAATTCAGCGCGAGTTAAATTATAGACAAGCAATTCACTTTAGTGAAATTTATGTACACTGAAAATTAAACACAAAGTTTACACCAAATATTATATATATTATTGGCGAATAGGTTTTGCAAGGTTGTGCGAAACATAAATTATTTATGATAATTATATATATATATATATTTGTTTGAAGATAATTAAATAAATGTAAAAGTCGTGTTCTTCAATATAGAATTTAAATATATATTTTAAGAAATAGAATATTAAATCCGTATCTGAAAAAATATACATCATTAAAAAATCATTAAATTTTACTCATCATTTTGTTTTTAATTTTTAATTAAATATCAAAAACCAAATAATACCAAAAAATTAAAATGCTCCATGCTAATTTTTAGTTAGTCATAAAACCTACTAATTTCTGACAAAATAATACTGAAGATTAGTAACCACATTTATTTTTGGTATCATTTGGTTAGAAACAATGTTTTTGTTTTGTTTCACAATTTCAATTTGTGTATCTCTCAAAATCAGCTGTTTTGTGGAGACTACAACAGCATTTTGCAGATAACACAAAAAATTCTGTATAGATAAAACAAATTTTTTCCCCTGTGCTATATTAAATTCATCTCTATTTCTGCCAAAAGAAAAAAAATATCTATAAAAATGGAATTCTACGGATTTGTATATCAAAAATTTTTATGCCTTACGGATAATGCTGATCAAAATTATATCCAACCGAAAGTTGATTGTACAAAAGGTGTATGATAAATTCATAGTTGTACAAATTTTTTCCCCTGTGCTATTAAATTCATCTCTATTTCTGCCAAAAGAAAAAAAATATCTAAAAAGTGGAATTCTACGGATTTATGTATATCAAAAATTTTTATGCCTTACGGATAATGCTGATCAAAATTATATCCAACCGAAAGTTGATTGTACAAAAGGTGTATGATAAATTCATAGTTGTACAAATTTTTTCCCCTGTGCTATTAAATTCATCTCTATTTCTGCCAAAAGAAAAAAAATATCTAAAAAGTGGAATTCTACGGATTTGTATATCAAAAATTTTTATGCCTTACGGATAATGCTGATCAAAATTATATCCAACCGAAAGTTGATTGTACAAAAGGTGTATGATAAATTTATAGTTGTATTGAACAAATAAAATTAGTTAGGACATTAACGGAAAAGTATATAGTTTTTTGGGACAAAAGTTTACAAAAAGGATTATATAACCAAAGGAAAACATGAAGGGCTTTTAACGACACAAATTTTCCAAAGAAATTAATAGGGGTCTGTGCAAACTCAACTTTTGCTCGATTATCTTCAAAAGGATTCGCGCACGATGATGATGAGCAGTTGAGAGTGCGATTAGCGCCAACGGAAACCTCCTTTTGCTCTAAAGAGAAGCTCAACTGATTGACTGGATGATGTACCTTTTCAAGGTAACGCGATCTTAAAGGAGACGAAGAAAGGCGGAACCCGCCACCGAGAGGAACAGAGGTGTTCGAACCAAACAAGGGGGGGGTTCTCTTTCCCCCCTCTCTATATATATACGCGTCAGTAATGGACAGGGCAAATATTTATCATTGGCTGCGTAAAACTAAGGTGCGTTTAGCAAACGGAAGATGCGAGGAAAAACAAACAAGTCAAGCAAAAGACAGAGATAGACGTTCATATAGTGAAAGAAGGCGAAAAGAGTCGTTCAAAGGGGCCGCCATAGGGCCCAGAGAGAAGAAGGCACAAACCCCAATAATAGCACCAGAATTTATATACCTGCACGAACCAACTCTTCAGCGATGGAGTGGGCCCTGGGGCCAGGGATGAACCATCCAGGGGCACGCAAGGCGACGATCGATTTAAAACCGGCCATTATATTTTGCCATTCCTTCTTCTTCTTGTATTCTCAATTTCTGTCTATCATCGCGAGTTCCAATATAATAATTTTGATCAATTGGAAAATACTAATTTTCAATCCGGTTCTGTTTATATTGGACCCA